GGTTGACTGACTCATGAAATGTCAACCGAAATTTCGAAATTCGCTTTCGATTCCAAAAGATTAATTAAGTAGGGTTGTAAAACTAGTCAGCCTGCAACATAATTGTATAATATTTCAGTTACCTCAGGATGCCGGCTTTCGAATGAACTCTCTTCCGGCCGCATACAAAAACTACACTCTGTAAAAAATGACTGCTTATGTAGCATGCATTTTCTCATTGATTTTCTATGCGCTTAAAGGTTCGATTATAGTTCATGTAAAACACGCATTTAAATATTCATTCTTTCGCTCATTCGTTAGATAATTACGTCTTTATCCACTCCTATACTCGAGGGAGGGGTATAATTCGGTTTTCAAAAACTTTTTCTATTCCCGAATAATTTAAACCCGACCTGCCGTTACACTTGGATTCAGGGTTTCCAAACTACAAGCCGTATATTTTCCGCGTACGGAAAACTATACATTTCTCTACGGTAATAAAGGGGGACCATATAGGGTTCATAAAATTTAGCAGTGGATTTGATCCATATTGTTAACTTTACAAGCCACATTGGTAAATGCAGAGACGTGACGATATATGAAAGGCCATTTCACGGTATTTAAAAGTCCAACAATTAGAAACTTTTTAAAACCGAATTATATCCCTCCTTCGAGTATGGAGTTAGAATACCAGATGAGCGGAGAATGAATATTTTATGCCTGCATCAATGAGACAAATCCATGCTACATAAGTAGTCATTTTTACAGAGTGTATTTTTTGCATGCAGCCGGAAGTTCGAAAGCCGGCATCCAGTGGTAACCGAATTATTATAGAACTATGCTGCATGATGATTAGTTTTACAACCCCATTTAATTAATTTTTTTGAAACGACAACGCAGTTCGGAATTTCGGTTGACATTTCATGAGTTAGCCTACCTACTGTGGATGAAATGTTGCAGACGACTTCTTTGTTATTTAATTAGTCAACCTTATCCTTAAGGCGCACGCGCTGCATGCATATCGTAGTTGTCGGCTGTATTTGGTGCTTCCTCATACCACTTTTTGATGGAAGGAAGTGTTCACCAGTTTTTCTAACTTGAACATCTGATTGGAACAACCCAGTTTCATGTCTCTCTATTTCAACTTCTACCCACAGACAGTCAGGGCTGTATGAACACCAGCATATATAATGTACTATACTCTCGGTTAGGAGAATAGCTAAAAGCCCGGACATTAAAATATCTGGACTAAATGCAACCAGATAGGTAATGCAACTTTCGTCACCACTGTCATTAAGGCGGGCTTTTTCTGCCAAGGAGAGCTAATATATCACTGCGCACTCGTTTCTCCGCTTACACATATACTATGCCATTTGGCGGGGCAAAGACGAAACACGTTTCTTCTTCGCAGATATTACAGACATCGTCTGTGGACCACATTTGATATGTTCGAGCATACGTTTGCTTCTAGATGGTAATTAGCGTTCTAGCTAACATAATGAAGGTAGAATACGTCCAACTTAGTTTTCTACCAGTTTATATCTTTGATCACTCTCGTCATCTGCTATCATCGCGTGGACGAGTTCGTACTGGTAGATCGTTGGCTGATCGTGACCTCCGCTATCCACTCGGAGTTTGGTTGTCTCAATCGTGTTGTGTGGCCTCATTGCTGAAGGCACCATCAAATTAGGCAGGAAAATGAGCCCGTGGCTCAGTTGTTAGAGCGTTTGACTTACCAACTCACGATGACTAAATATTTCGGGTTCAAATAACAGGTGTTCCAAACTTGTCACGTGTAGATACTGACTTTTCATCATCGGTCAGTGCGTTCACATCCCTTCCCCCTTGCCTTGGTCTCAGCTTGATACTGGAATATGATGCGGCGAACGTATCCTCCTCATCAAAGACCAAGTTGTACTGTGGCCACCACCAAGCCCCTCATTAATTCCGCGGGATGAATTTCCAGTTTATAGGAGTTCTGAAGATTTTACCGTCAAGCTGACCCTAAGTCACACGACAAACAACTCGGGCATGCCTGCGTCCGCGCAGTCGGAGCTTCCCATGCGGCCACTTGAAGGTTCCTCCCCCCTTCAACCTCAGCGTAAGCCACTGGGACACCACCCCTCGGCAAATGCAACACACACCGATTGGAGACCACTTGAGTTTGGCCCACGAGCCTACAAAAGCGGCTGCCACCACCGCCTCTCAAAGACTCTCAGGCATGACTGGACGCAGTCAACACCAACCCTGGCTTCGCCAGTGGCCACTGCCGCCTGAGAGGAAAACTGCGGTTTCTGTGCACAATAAACCCCTCATTTTGGTGCCTTCAGTCTTTTCCTTCCAACACTAGGATTTGACCTGGTGACGGTAGCGCACAGACCACCCACTCATTGCCGCTACAAGGCAATAACTTCTGACAAACATAGAATGTTTCATTCTGTAATAGGACCACCATCATTTGCCACACAGAGAATCTGTGAGAAACTGAGATCCTCGGAGTTGCGCCAAAAAGTTGCGGAAGGCTTATGGTTAATTTCTTGAATTTTATTATGCTAACGCTCAATTCAGAGTATTTCTTTTTTAGGCGGTGACATTTTAGCAGGGGAACTCAGAGCTCCGACGTCTCAATAAAGCAAGGATGTCACAAAGGTCGGGTTTGCCCGCAGTCTGAAATGACATCGGATTGATTTTGAAATGCTTGATGGACCATCACCATCAGACGACCACCATCTGCACCCTCTTTCACCTTCGGTCTTCTTATCTACGTCTTGACACCGCTCCCAGTTGTGGAGGAGAGAGTGCGGTATATGCTGTGCAAGTCTACTGCCACTGTAAACTCACCCACGCCCAAGTCACTGTGCCTGCTCTCTCTTATCTGTGGGGCACTCGGTAGACATAGTCGGCGACGATGGTCGAAACGCCATGAGGCGACAATACTACGATATCGTGTTAACTTCACTTTGAGATCTTGAAAGGAAGATATTCAACGTAGGGGTTTCGTGTCGAAAAATGCCTTAGGAATTTATTATTTATCGTTCAGCAGTCGTCTGCGAGACCTCGAGCCGCTAACTCAAAAAAGAACGGAAAGTGATCGTCTAGGTAGGTCTTTAATTTCCCCAGGAATTTGTGTATGAACTTGGAGTAAACTCTCCGGGGGGATACTTTCTCAGACTTGGTCCAAAGGCTAATATGAGTTGAAATACACCAGCTTCAGCAAAAAGAACGCCTATTATCCACACTCTGCCAACAAGTAATGACAATTCGGCCGTTGCATCCGACGATATCCGCCGTGTGCTCCACAGAAAGATGAATCAGACACGGTGGCATGCAAGGGAGTTAGTTTATATTGAGTGTGGACTTGCGGTGCATCTACCGCACTTTTTTATCCCCCCCCCCTCCACCTGAGTCCGGTATCAAAACAGAGTCAAGAAGACCGGAGGCGGGGGAAGGGCGCAGGTGGCTGGCACGGTCGAGCCCTCACCACCTGGCGTCCAACTCCACACTCCTGGTCTATACAACAAATGACCAGGATTTTAACTAACAACACACGTCTAGCAGGAGTCCAGACATGTGTTTCGTCGGTATTCGCAACGTCAAAAATCGGGGTGTGCACCAGAATACACAAATGGGGCGCGCTGAAGGACCAAAACACTCAAAACTGCATCATGCAGCGACACGAACCCGTGTTCATGCTGGTAGTGTCCCGAATCCAGACCGGGTGAACTAATACTGCCACCAGGCGACCGAGGCTTACCGTTAACTTGTGGTGTTGGTAAGCCAGCATTACTCCTAAATGTCTTAGTTTGAGGTAAACCTCTATAAGGTGTCGCCAACAAAAACAGGGGACACCTGGGCGGTCGTCTCAGACCTACCGGCCCTCGACAGTCAGCCAGGGCTCGATCTAGGACTCTTCAGTAAGTGAGTACTGGGTCAAACGTTCGAACACCAAATCCCACAGTGACTCTCCTGTCAGTCGACACCGAGACCACAGTTCCACCGCGAAAGTGTGGAACTGCGTTTACAAATATTTCACTCCGGCTGGGAAGGGACTGGTCGTATTCGT